AGTTCTAGGTATTCAGGAGGCTAAGGTGGGAGGATCACCTGAGCCCAGAAGTTGAGGCTGTGGTGAACCGTGATCGTCCCACTGTACTCCAGCCTAGGCCACAGAGGGAGACCCCACTCAAAAAAATAAAATAAAATATATACCTACAAGGGGTATTCTTCCGATTTACACAAGTTTAAAAGGGCGAGAGTGTTGTGTTGTGCTGTTTTCCCCTCCAAAGTGTGATTAGCCTGACCCAGGCTCCCTTCATGGATTTTCTTTCCTGTTACCTGCAGTCACCTTGACAGCTGCACTGGATGATCTATTTAGAGGCTACTTTAAATCTGGCTCCTGTCTTGCTTTGTCAGCGCCCTCTAAATCTCCATAATCCTATTTAAACTACCGCGACTCATACATGCTCATTTGCATGGCATTGATTCTTTGTGTTTTCATTTCAAAAACTCTGTGATTTAAGGAATTCTGGCTCTTGGCCCTAAATTATAAATAGTTGATAGTCTGTCTTGCAACACACCAAGACCTTCGACCAGCGTGTCAATGTCTCCTCCATGTTTATAAGCGTAATAATTGAATGGATTGTAATTCATGGTTTCGCATCTGCTCCCCAGTAGAAACTCTAAACTTCAAAAGGCCAGTGACCGTGTCTGTGTTGCCCATTGCAAGGTCATTGCTGTATCTCCAGTGTACAGCTCAATGCCATACACAGTCCTTCATGCAAGAAATGTTTATTAAATGACAGGCTCTCTTCAAAGTATTGGGAAGTCAACAGTTAATTCAGCTTCTGCCCTTGTGGAGGATACATTCTAACAGGGTGGAAAAGACAATATGCAAAGTAGTAAACATATAAGAAGTCAGTGATTACTGATATGATAAAGAAGAAAGCAAGGTAAAGGGATAGAAAATGATATGGGGAGGAGCAGGACTGTCTTAGAGGGGATCTTCAGGGAGGCCTCATGTAGCAGAGACCTGGATACAGTAACAAAGCCAGCCACACCCATTTCTAGGGAAAAAGCCTACCCAGCAAGAAAATAATCTGTAGGTAAAGAAAGACAGGGAAGTTAGCTGGGTGCAGTGCCATACACCTGCAGTCCCAGTTATTCGGGAAACTGAGGTTGAAGGATCACTTGAGCCCAGGAGATCAAGGCTGCAGTGAGCCATGATCGTGCCACTACCCTTTAGCCTGGGCAATACAGCAAGATCCTATCTCAAAAACAAAAAAGAAAGAAATGAAAAAGCAGGGAGGCCAGTGTGGCTACATTAGAGGAAGCAAGAGGAAGAGGAATGAGGGAGTGAAGGTCTTAGGAGACCTATCCAGTAGGTGCAGCAGGGACTCAGTAGCAATTCAGTGAGAGGCAACCAGCTTTCAGACAGGGACAATAGAAACAGAGGTGGTGAAAGCGGGTTAGATTGTGGACGCATCTTTAAGACAGAGGCAATGAGACTTGGTGATTGATTGCATGCTCATGTGAGTGAAAAGTGAAGTCAAGATGACTCTAGCTAAAGAAGAGGTTGCCCTTTGACAAGGTAGGAAGAACACAGCGAGGAGCAAAGGGAAATTCAAAATTGTGTTTGGAAAACAAGCTGGGCGTCTCTGTGCCTAATAGCACCCATTAGGGTGGACCTATGAAAGACTTCTGGTGTTTTTGCACTTAGAACTTGGTCAGGAGAAAATGGAGACCAATGGAGAAATAAACACAATTGCCATCCGCAGTCCTCTGAGTGAGTGCAAAGGTTCTCAGATTTCATCGGCAGAGTCTGGGGTCCACAACTCAACTCTATTACACCATAATTTGGTATATGCAGGAAAATGTGTTCTTTTCTGAGATAATTCATGATTTCCATCAAACCGCCTCCTCACAATAGCTAATGAGAATCAATATATTCATTCTTTCAATATAGTAATGTATTTGGTACTCTATTAACTCTTCATCTCAATTAGAGGTCAAAATGCAATTGCTCCTCAGCATATGCAGGGACTGGGTTCCAGGACCCCAGTGTATACCAAGATCCGCACATATTCAAGTCTGGCAGAGGGTCCTGCTGAACCCGGGGTTAAGAAAAGTCAGCCCTGTGTAGACACGAGTTTCACATCCTGAGAATACCATATTGTCCATTTGCGCTGGGTTAAAAAAAATCTGCATCTAAGTGGATCTGCACAGTTGAAGCTCATGTCGTTCGGGGTAAATGCAAAATGTGCACCATGAGGAAATTGTTATTGTCCTTATTCATTTTTTAAAAACTGGTTAATAAGTGTTACCTGCTAGGCACTGGGCTAGACAGTGCCCATCAGGTCACCTCCCATGAAAGACAGTCTTGCTTCATAGTCAGAAGGACGAGCTTGGACATTAGGCCAACTTTGGTTCAAATCCCAGCTCTTATACTTGCTAGCTGTGCTGCCTACGGCAAATTCTATAACTTCTCTATTTTTAAATTAACTAGCTAGTGTATAAACTGTCTGCCAAAAATGGTGTGCCATATATGACTAAATTTCTGCTGGTGAGTAGACTACCTTGATTACAATTTAACTTCTAAGGTAGACTATTTTTAAGGAAACTCACTAATTACAGAGTATAAACATCCAATCTGCTTATACAAACCCTTGAAAGTTAAGTTCATGTGAAATCAGTCCCAGAATCTCTTCACCACTGAACAGGTAAATAAAATGAAATTTGGATCCTACAGAGTCACAGTTCTATCCCTGTAGTCATGTACTTACCAGGGTTACCATCATTCTATGGTAACAGAAATGACAAGACCCCTCATAAGTTATGATGCATTATAAAATCAGTGAATTATTTATTCTTATATCTGAATTTAACTGACCTTGAAAATCCATGGGATTTTGGTCACTCTTGTATATCTAGGTGATGGATGATAACATCACTCCTTGGAATACTGGAAATTTAGTGGACTTGGAAGTCAAACTAACCATCCTGGCTTGCCAATTACTAATAGCAACATGGTCTGGGGATAACTGTTTAATTTCCCTAGGTCTTTGGTTTGTTTGTTTGTTTTTAAATCAGTATTATTGGAATGTATCCTTTTAATCAAAGTATGGTAATTAGAAATAATAGACATAAAACTCTTCTCATGGCTGGCACAAATTGCATCTTAAATTACAGTAACTATTAAGAGTATTATTATTTTACAGTGAGATAGTCCCTGGAATTCACTATTAAATTAATAACTCACTGGAATAGTATTAAATTTCAGCCTGGTGCAGTGGCTAACACCTCTAATCCCAGCACTTTGGGATGCTGAGGCAGAATGATTGCTCTGGCCCAGGAGTTAGAGAGCAGCCTGTGCAGCATAGCAAGACCTCGTCTCTACAAATAAAAATTAAAATTACCAGGGCATGATGGCACATGCCTGTAGTCCTAGCTGCTCAGGAGTTAAGGCAGAAGGATTGCCTGAACCCAGGAGGTACAGGATGTGGTGAGCTGTGATCATGCCTCTACACTCCAGCCTGGGTGTCAGAATGAGACGCCTACTCAAAAAAAAAAAAAAAAAAAAAAAGCAGTAAAAATACTAGTTACATAGCATGATCAAGCCAGCCACAGTGGCTCATGCCTGTAATCCCAGCACTTTGGGAAGCTGAGGTTAGAGATTTACTTGAGCCTGGGAGTTTGAGACCAGCCTGGACAACATAATGAGACCTCCTTTCTACAACAAATCAAGTTAGCTGGGTGTGATGGCATGCACCTGCAGTCCCAACTACTTGGGAGGCTGAAGCAGAAGGATGGCCTGAGTCCAGGAGATCGAGGTTGTGATAACAGCCACCCCGGGAGACAAAGTGAGACCCAACTTGAAGAAGGAGGAGGAAGAGGGGTAGAAGGGGGCTGGAGGGGAAAGGGGAGGAGGAGGAGGAGGGGAAGGAGGAGGGGAAGGAGAAAGAGAAGAAGGAGAAGACATAATCTAAGTTTTGAGACCTGTTATCAGAAATTGGCATAAATCTCCCTTTCAACTTGTCCCGTTTCCGGCGCCATGCCATTCCTTCTACGGAAAGCCATCTAAGGTAAAACTGCAGGCTTAAATTGCTTTGTTGACTAGTTCGTTCTTAACTCTTCTCTCATCAGCCTAAGAACGAGAAAAGCAAGATTGAAGCCTGTGCTGCGAAACTATTAGGTAATACAGTTAATAGCACCGTTGACGACTAGAACAAAGGCTGCGTGAGCAGAGTGTTCTCCTCCGAGCAGGGGAGCTGACAGGCGCCCCCTCTCCCCTCACTGAGGGTCTGCGCAGGAATCGTGCCATTCCTGGTGGCAGGAGCACCTGTTACCAAGTGTCCCCACCGTGATTATATGACTTAACCTCACCCTTTGCCTCCGGTCACCAGGCCGAGAGATTTCGAGTTAACACACGATGTGCCTGCACCCGTGTGGTTTAGCGCGGATACCATAAACATTAGCTGTTATTATTTTGTGGGAATAGGTCTTTTCTGCTCAGGCATAGCTTCTCCCCAAAGAGCTCATTTCAAATAACTGTATGACCCAGAAAATGGGGCGGGTGGAGGGGAGTGCCCTGCCGGTGGGAGACGGGATGAGGGGGATGGATGGGTGGGGGGATGGA